CAAGCCCTCACATGGAACCCTCAAGGCAAAAGGAAAAGAGGAAGGCCAAGGAACACATTACACCGAGGAATAGAGAAATATATGAGAAGAATGAACAAACACTGGACAGAACTGGAAAGGGATGCCCAGGACAGAGTTGGTTGGAGAAAACTGGTGGGCGGTCTATGCTCCATTGGGGGTAATAGGCGAAAGTAAGGAAGTAAAGCTTCACTCGAATCAGCTTAGCGTGATGCAGGTGTCCGAACTTGCTGGTCGTTGTCACTGTCATATCCTCGGATCATCAACTTATTCTATAACGACTTCATCACTTTATCTTCGGCATGTACACATTAGTCCTCTTGATCAATTAAATCATACTAGGTCGTGAAAAGAAATGAGACACTTAAATCTATATGAAGACAACGTTGTGTAATAATCCCAGAACTAGTTTTTACATTAATTGAGAGAAACATGCGCTTACACCTGAAGGTTTACAGCGTCATCACACCCCCTCTACATATAAAAGAGACATAAATCTCTCATATTAGGCTCAGAAATCAGCGACGAAAGGGGCAATAGTTCAGCCAGCCAATCAGTTACGACGTAGAACTTCGTACGTAAGTACTTCAGTTCATGTTGCCATACCACATTAGCACAAAGACGCGATTATCAATTCAAATCCCATAGTGGTAGAGATAGTAAGGGAATTAGAAGTAATCGGAGAGGTTAGGGTTAGAAGATACTATTCAAGAAGTATGATTCAGTGAGAAAAGTTTAGAGAGTCGAAACTAGAGGTATTGAAGAATCCAGAAGATTAGGGTTTGCGAGAACACAAAGAATAAATGCACGGGCGCCATTGCGAACGATTTTGAGCCATGTCATTCAAGGTCTCTAGCCATCGATTATTATCATCTCGCGGACCCCAACCAGGTAGTCGACAATTACCGACATGGCTAAGTCCACTCGTCAATGACTTCATGGATTTCTGCCATGTTTTGGTCTGGCCGCCCCTAACTTTCTTCCAACCTACGCCTACACTACAAAACATAGCTCGTCGCGGCAGTCGGTTGTTAGGCATACGCAAGACATGTCCCAACCACCTCAACTGGTGAAGTTTCATTACTTCATCTATTGAACTGCCATTCTTACCTAGCACCCGTTGCTCACTCGATTGTCCCAGGATATACGAGCAATGCTTCGAAGACCACCTCTGATCGAAAACCAGTAACCTTCGAATATCTTCTACTCTCACTGGTAATGTTTCACAGCCATGTAATAGGACGGAGCGAATCACTGCACAGTACACTGTCGTTTAGTCAGCAAACGGATATCTCGCCTACGCCATAAGTGACGCAGGTTGACAAAAGCCAATCGAGCGTTCTGTATCCGAGCTGAGATTTCGTCAGTCACCAGGCCATCAACACTGATGAGACTGCCCAGATAAGTGAGGCGGTCAACACGCTCGACTACTTCACTCCCTATCACTAGTTCAGGTGCCGATGCAACCCAATCTTGAAGCAGCATTTTGTAATTCGAATGTGAGAACCTCATCTCTAACATGCTTGCATTGTTGCTTAGGGTGGTCAGAAGACTCTGCATTTTGTCAGCGTCTTCACCAAGTAGGACTATGTCATCAGCATATTCTAAGTCAGTAAGCGTGTATCCTGGTAAAAGGTCCACTCCTAAAGATTCAGATTATGATAATGTTGAATCTAGTAGCATATCTACAACAAAGTTAAACGAAAACAGGGAAAGTAGACATCCCTGACAAACACCACTTGAAGTAGAGAATTCCGATTATAGTTCGCCATAAGCTCTTACTCGACCAGTGGTGTTCGAGTAGAGAGAGTGCTTGTATAAGGTTAATGTACTTCTTTGGTACACTTTTTGATGACAGACTCTGCCACAGAACCTCACGATCAACAGAGTCGAATGCCGCCTTAAGGTCCAGTAACAACTATTGTGGGACGCTTAAATGTGTGTCTGTGTTCCAGGACCTGTCGTAGTGTGAAAATGTGGTCTATACAGCCACGTCCAGGTCGTAAAGCAGCCTGGTTTTCTCTAGTCTGTTCTTCACAAGCCCTAGTTAGGCGTCTAAGGATTTTCGAGGCTAACAATATAGAAACTATGTTAGTTAGACTTATTCCCCTTTGGTTGTCACAACAAGACTTGTTTCCTTTCTCAAAAATTGTGACAATAAGGGATTGAGACCAGTAGGATATGATTACGTCCAGTTCCTAGATTCTCCCTAAGATCTCAGTCAACCCAGCTGCTAAGACTGAACCATCTTGGACCTTAAATATCTCAAGGGTCAATCTATCAGGTTCTGCTGCTCTACCTCGCTTTAGATTTCTTATAGCTTTCTCAACTTCATGTAGACTAGGAGGACTTACGTCGATTCGCCATTCAGGATGACTGGAGACCGTGGGTGACCGACGAGTGGCTCGAGGCCAGTTGAACTGATCTTTGAAGTGTTCTGCCCCTTCGGTCCAGTCTCCTGGATTGAGAATGAATAATAAGACCATCCTTTTCCGAAATAGTCCCACTCACATTTGGGTTCCTAATACCAGTTTCCTTGATGAGTCTAAATAATTGCCTATTGTTGCCTATCGCCGCTGCCTTTTCCATCTATTTCGCTTTCGCCACCCACCACTGTTTACGGTCGTTACGTATGCTTCTTATCAGGCTGTGCCTAAGCTGACTTCGTTCTTCGCCATGTTCAGAGCTAGGTGGGATGAGTTTTCCAGCCTCTATCAGTTCGGTGGATGCTACTGAGATCCACGTCTTCATCCTAGGCTTATGGTTAACCTTACTAGCAGATATCACTGCTGTCTCCACAGCCTTTTTGATATCATTCCAAGCTGCTCCCGGGTGGGAATCACTTACATGGTCGCCTAACTGTTTTTCCGGTTATTCCTGAAATATTTTCTTCGCCTTATTATCATTAAGTGGATCCCCAAGAGGCTTTCTTACGGTGTCTTTCCTACGCCCAGTAAGCTTCAAACAAATACGGGCTCGCACTAGGGCATGATCTGAATCTGAACATGTGCCCCAGAACGAGCGACAGTCCTCTATCGAACCCCTCCATCGGTGGCTGATGGCGATATGATCTAGCTGCGTCCAACGTTGAGACGACTTTGGAGGTCGCCAGGTCAAAAGATGTTTTTCCTTATGCTTAAAGTTAGTGTTTGCTAAGAATAGGCGGTTGGTTGTCTGAGCATACTTGCAACAGACGGTCACCATTGTCTGTTCTGTGAGCCGCGACACCATAACATCCACCTAGGTGTCATTCATTTTCACCTAGTCTACCTACTTGAGCATTAAAGTCACCAGTCATTAATACTATATCAGAGCGCCTAGCTTTTTGGAGGAGTTCCGAAAGCTTTCTGTAGAACTCGTCCTTCACCTCGTCTGAACTGCAGTCAGTGGTGGCATAGGCAGATACGACGAAGATGCAACGACGTGTGTCTCTCTTTACGAGTCCTTACTGTACCGTTCAGTCGGACGGCGCAGAAACGACTATCTACAGGGACCGACTCTAGGAGCGCTAGATCTGCCCTAGGACTCAGTGCCATACCTACACCGGCGAGAACCCGGGAAGCAGCATCGGGGCTACCGGATACACGAAGAGTAAATCGGGCTGCTTCTTCATCTTGATTTGGTTTAGGTCATGAAAATTGCGGTATTCGGATCCTGTATGTGCGTTTCCGAGACACAGCATACATCTATGGCGCGAGATTCTAGATTCCTAGCTAATGATGCCTGTTGCGCTATTTGACACAATGTCCATACATTAAATGCTCCAACATGTAGTTTAGAACGTTGTTTAAAACGACCAGGAATGACGTTTCGTGAACTCGTATTTTTTGCAGTTGCTGTGCACTGTGATTAATGAATGTGAGAAGAGAGAGTTATGTGTGGGTGTAGGGAGGATTTGATTTTGACCAATTCAGTCTCGTGTGGTGTTACGGGTATGAGGGCGGTTTGTCACTTCCCGGCTGCCCACACCGTGGAAGGTTGTTTCTTGAGGTACCTGAAACGGAATATAGATTAGTGTTGATTTTAGAGATCTTGGTGCGTGACCGCAGAGCACAAGGTACAACTGTTTGAGGCCGGTCACGGGCGGCCTTTTGATGAAAGGGTTTTTTAGTATTAGCTCATCTCTTAAGAGCACTTAGTGAGCAGCCCTTTCCGCCGGAGACGAAAATCCGTGAGGTAGGGTGAGGTTTGACATTTTTAGGGTCGACCTTTTCTAACGCTTCCTTCCTTGTGGGAAGGCAGCATCGCTACAGACGCTGGTTTTCCGAGGAAATCACCTTACTGCTGTCACACCCCTCTGCAGTCTACAGTAGACTTCGCCCTCAGACCTTACCGATGCATCATCACCACTCCCCTCGAGTCAATCCTCGAAAAAGGCGCACCGAACGGCAAACACTCAGGTTCATGCAACATGTTACTCATTAAGAGTCCCTGCAACTTAGAACCTTCTCCCTGCGGAGGTGACTGTACCCCTATTATTGGACAGCTTTAAGAAGAAGCTTGATAATCACGTACTCACATACGGACTATCGTCTCTCTCTTGGACAAGTTGTGCCTGGTGCATGTCTTTAGACTTGCTAATTGTTATCATTGCCACCTCATCAGATCACTCAATTAATCTATCTTGCCTATTATCTCTTCTTCCTCTTCCTTGCTTATACTTTGGTTATCTCTCACAATCTTCACTGCCAATTAACAAACCAAATGATATATATATTACTTAGTTCTGAAATTTAATTCATTTCATTCATTAGAATTTTCTCCTCTTCATTCTCCACATTGCAACTAACTGATATCCGGTCTGGTGATGTGATAACTGCTGGTATCTAGAAACTCTACAGCCCTGAAACAAACGTTTTCATTCGAATCACGGGACATATAAACTCACAAACAACTGTCTAGAATTAGACAGTCGAGTGGCTAGACCCAAATTGATTGGACATCATCAAACATCTGGAACCTTACTGAAAGAACGAGTTACGAGCGGAAAGAGATCAGTTGGTTTATACTAACTCGTGAAAAAGACATTGTATATTGGAATATTGGACTTTGAATGATGCGTGCGTAACGACCCTGCCAATATTTGTTCAGGATTCAGAAGCGTCACTATGACTGTTGGTTCTTCTATTTAACTGAGATTAGATCATTTCATTACAGGACGACATTTTAGACTTTGAAAGTAAGAAAAAAAAGAAGACAAAGCCTTCTGTACAGGATCTTAAAGACGAACCCGATATTCTGGGAAACCAGGATATTCTTGACTTTGGTTCGAAGAAGAAGAAAAAAGATAAACTGTTAAGCTTGGATGACATTGGTGACACAGGGGACGTAAGTAGTGTCTCTATATACTTCAATTTACAGGCACATAAGGAGCCAGAATTGCGTGAGAGGGACTCAACAGAAAACGGAGTCAAGGAACTCGCTGAAAAGCTGACCGATGAGCTACACTTCTCGGATAAAAAGAAAAAGCGAAAACTCAAACCCATTGTAGTAGATGAAAACTATATTTCCGAGTCGAACACCACATCTGAACTAATCGTCAAGGATTCATCGGGTTATGATTATGAGATGGTAAGCCTTCCTGAACCTGAGTTTTCCGGTCCTTAGTTTACAATGCCAGCTCATTTTATGTCTTTTCACGGAGTTATTGTCTATACTCATCCAATCGCTTGAGAAACCGGTGCGAACGCCTATTTGGCTCCTCACCTATTATATCACTGATAAGTCATTTGCGTGTTATGGAGCTACAATCTTAAATGGCTTCAATAGTAATTTCGACAAAAGCATATCACATAAAAGAAGCAACCCATTAAATTCAAATGTCTTATAGACTGACAATCTATAGATTCATTGTGTGTTGTGAATTTAGCGTCCTCAGATTCCCTTGGCATTTTATACTTCGACATTCATCCCGCAAGGAAACTACAGATTGCCAAATTAGATTGAGATTATAAAATCGTAAATTTTCGTAACATAGATCGAGTCTCATTTAAAAACCTGGTGAATATCTTGTATCGTCATAACCTTTGCAATTACCTAATAGTTAATGTTCATAAAAAATTCAATGAAGTTTAACTGAAACAGTGAACACAAGCAACAGCGAATCTAACGTCCTCATTTGGTAGTGGCGAAAACGGTTATGTACAAAGACGAAAATAGATTGTTTGGTTCAATCCATAACAAAAGAGCCGTCCGTCAGCAACAATCTGTCACTTGATACACATATCAGTTCAAGTTGTGCTGACATATGCACAAACAGTTGGAATTGTCGGAATTAAATTCCATAGTAGTGGATGTAGTAGCAGTACTAGAAGTCTAATTTGGTGAAATAAATTTAAGAAGCGAAAGAATAGTGCATGAGGGGTCTGGGAGACTAGAATTTGAGATAAGAAAGAGAATGGATGCATCTGCGTCATTGTGAACGATTATGGACCATATCACACAAATTGCCCAGCACCCGGTTACAACTATTTCACATACACCAGCTAGGTGTCCTACACCTACTAGTATGGCTCAGTCCAGTTTGAGGTAAGTTTATGGGTTTGTGCCGTTTTTGTTTGGCCTCCCCTAGCTTTTTCCGAGAATATTCTGCCTACCCTGAACAATGCAAGCAAGTTCGGGATGCGGTTTTCCCCGTCGAAATGCAAAATGTTGCTTTAAGATTGGGTTGCATCGACACCTGAACTAGTGATAGGGAGTGAAGTAGTCGAGCGTGTTGACCGCCTCACTTATCTGGGCAGTCTCATCAGTGTTGATGGCCTGGTGACTGACGAAATCTCAGCTCGGATACAGAACGCTCGATTGGCTTTTGTCAACCTGCGTCACTTATGGCGTAGGCGAGATATCCGTTTGCTGACTAAACGACAGTGTACTGTGCAGTGGTTCGCTCCGTCCTATTACATGGCTGTGAAACATTGCCAGTGAGAGTAGAAGATATTCGTAGGTTACTGGTTTTCGATCAGAGGTGGTCTTCGAAGCATTGCTCGTATATCCTGGGACAACCGAGTGAGCAACGCTGTTATTAGGAATTGGGTGCTAAGTCAGAATGGCAGATCAATAGATGGAGTAATGAAACTTCACCAGTCGAGGTGAGTGTGACATGTGTTACGTATGCCTAACCACCGACTGCCTCGACGAGCTTTGTCTTGTAGTGTAAGAATAGGTTGGAAGAAAGCTAGGGGCGGCCGGATCTAAACATGGCATAAATCAATGAAATCACTGACAAGTGGACTGAGACATGTTGGCAGATGTCGACTACCTGGTTCGGGTCCGCGAGACGAAATTCACCAATGGTTAGAGCCCTTGAATGACATGGCTGAAAACCGTTTGCAATGGCGCCGGTGCATATATTCTGTGTTGTCTCGAATCCTAATCTCCTGGATTCTTCAACACATCTAGTTTTGTCTTTCTAAACTTATCTTACTGAATCATACTTCTAATCCTAACCTCTCCGATTACTTCTAATACCTTTACTACCACTACTAGTATTTGGATTTTTAAGTGACAATTACATCTCTGTGCTGATGTGGTATGGCAACATAACTGATGTACTTACGTACGAAGTTCCACGTTGCATCTGACTGACTGACTTATCATGTTGGGATTCATATGGAATGAGTTTGTGAGCATCTGTCAGTTCGGTAGGTGCTACTGAGATTCAGTGTTTCTCCGTAACGTTATGATTTTCCTTACTAGCAGATGTCACTGATGTTCCCACAGCTTTTTGGATATCTTTCCAAGCAGCCTTAGGCTGGCTATTACTTACATACATTACTTACAATGTGTAAATACTGGATAGGGGAGGACAAAGAACACTAGTGAATTTTTAGAAGCTTGGCACTCAGGTCAATCAGCAATCAACAGACACATTGACATTGACGCAATTTATCAACCAATCAGAAAAATCGTAGGTGACATAGGATCAAGAAACAGATCAAAAGGGGGACACAATGAAAACGAAGGTGCGAACAACCACAGGTTTAAGGTCAACAACAACAACCAGTCAAGATCGAGGTTAGCAGAACAAGCTACAGGTCAAACATAGAGAAATTCGAATGCTTCACTTCTATCTGAAGTTTGTGCTGATGATGTTCAGAAGAACAATGAAAGTTCCACAACCAAAACAACCAGCTCAGAGAACTAAACACCACCACAACCATCCACCTAAAAACAAATTTTCTCCACTTATATGTTTGCCTAACTTTTTCTAGTTGCCCTTGGAATATACTCTTATCTTTGCTATCAATAGGTGGAACCGTGGGAGGTTCCCTTGTACTGTCTCCTCCGTCCAGCAAGACAGAAATACACGCTCATACTAGAGCGTGATCTGAATCTATACATGTGCCCCAGAATGAGCAGCAGCCTTCAATGGAGCCTCCCCACCAATGGCTGATAGCAGTGTGCTCTTGTTGGGTCGGTTTTTGCGGTTGCTATGTCAAAAGACGTTAGTCCTTATGTTTTATTAGGAGTAATTTCAGGTGTCGACAATTTCTAACCCCTTCGGTTATAAGGATGCAGTATCTGACAACGTAGCACATCAAGGGAAATATGTCCCGACTAATATAGCTCAGTTGGGTGATCGCGGTAGAAAAGCACAGCCATCACGTCAAGGTAGCAGCTAAAGCTTGATATGACGTAAAACCGCGTAGCACTTAGTTTGATGTCAGTCAGTCAGATGCAAAGTAGAACTTTGTACATAAGTACATCAGTTCATGTTGCCATACCACATCAGCACAGAGAAGTAATCGTCAATTCAAATCCAATAGTAGAAGAGGTAGTAAGGGAATTAGAAGTAATCGGAGAGGTTAGGGTTAGAAGATATTATTCAAGAAGTATGATTCAGTGAGAAAAGTTTAGAGAGTCGAAACTAGAGGTATTGAAGAATCCAGAAGATTAGGGTTTGCGAGAACACAAAGAATAAATGCACGGGCGCCATTGCGAACGATTTTGAGCCATGTCATTCAAGGTCTCTAACCATCGATCATTATCATCTCGCGGACCCGAACCAGGTACTCGACACCTACCGACATGACTCAGTCCACTGGTCAATGACTTCATGGATTTGTGCCATGTTTTGGTCTGGCCGCCCCTAACTTTCTTCCAACCTACGCCTACACTACAAAACATAGCTCGTCGCGGCAGTCGGTTGTTAGGCATACGCAAGACATGTCCCAACCACCTCAACTGGTGAAGTTTCATTACTTCATCTATTGAACTGCCATTCTTACCTAGCACCCGTTGCTCACTCGATTGTCCCAGGATATACGAGCAATGCTTCGAAGACCACCTCTGATCGAAAACCAGTAACCTTCGAATATCTTCTACTCTCACTGGTAATGTTTCACAGCCATGTAATAGGACGGAGCGAATCACTGCACAGTACACTGTCGTTTAGTCAGCAAACGGATATCTCGCCTACGCCATAAGTGACGCAGGTTGACAAAAGCCAATCGAGCGTTCTGTATCCGAGCTGAGATTTCGTCAGTCACCAGGCCATCAACACTGATGAGACTGCCCAGATAAGTGAGGCGGTCAACACGCTCGACTACTTCACTCCCTATCACTAGTTCAGGTGCCGATGCAACCCAATCTTGAAGCAGCATTTTGTAATTCGAATGTGAGAACCTCATCTCTAACATGCTTGCATTGTTGCTTAGGGTGGTCAGAAGACTCTGCATTTTGTCAGCGTCTTCACCAAGTAGGACTATGTCATCAGCATATTCTAAGTCAGTAAGCGTGTATCCTGGTAAAAGGTCCACTCCTAAAGATTCAGATTATGATAATGTTGAATCTAGTAGCATATCTACAACAAAGTTAAACGAAAACAGGGAAAGTAGACATCCCTGACAAACACCACTTGAAGTAGAGAATTCCGATTATAGTTCGCCATAAGCTCTTACTCGACCAGTGGTGTTCGAGTAGAGAGAGTGCTTGTATAAGGTTAATGTACTTCTTTGGTACACTTTTTGATGACAGACTCTGCCACAGAACCTCACGATCAACAGAGTCGAATGCCGCCTTAAGGTCCAGTAACAACTATTGTGGGACGCTTAAATGTGTGTCTGTGTTCCAGGACCTGTCGTAGTGTGAAAATGTGGTCTATACAGCCACGTCCAGGTCGTAAAGCAGCCTGGTTTTCTCTAGTCTGTTCTTCACAAGCCCTAGTTAGGCGTCTAAGGATTTTCGAGGCTAACAATATAGAAACTATGTTAGTTAGACTTATTCCCCTTTGGTTGTCACAACAAGACTTGTTTCCTTTCTCAAAAATTGTGACAATAAGGGATTGAGACCAGTAGGATATGATTACGTCCAGTTCCTAGATTCTCCCTAAGATCTCAGTCAACCCAGCTGCTAAGACTGAACCATCTTGGACCTTAAATATCTCAAGGGTCAATCTATCAGGTTCTGCTGCTCTACCTCGCTTTAGATTTCTTATAGCTTTCTCAACTTCATGTAGACTAGGAGGACTTACGTCGATTCGCCATTCAGGATGACTGGAGACCGTGGGTGACCGACGAGTGGCTCGAGGCCAGTTGAACTGATCTTTGAAGTGTTCTGCCCCTTCGGTCCAGTCTCCTGGATTGAGAATGAATAATAAGACCATCCTTTTCCGAAATAGTCCCACTCACATTTGGGTTCCTAATACCAGTTTCCTTGATGAGTCTAAATAATTGCCTATTGTTGCCTATCGCCGCTGCCTTTTCCATCTATTTCGCTTTCGCCACCCACCACTGTTTACGGTCGTTACGTATGCTTCTTATCAGGCTGTGCCTAAGCTGACTTCGTTCTTCGCCATGTTCAGAGCTAGGTGGGATGAGTTTTCCAGCCTCTATCAGTTCGGTGGATGCTACTGAGATCCACGTCTTCATCCTAGGCTTATGGTTAACCTTACTAGCAGATATCACTGCTGTCTCCACAGCCTTTTTGATATCATTCCAAGCTGCTCCCGGGTGGGAATCACTTACATGGTCGCCTAACTGTTTTTCCGGTTATTCCTGAAATATTTTCTTCGCCTTATTATCATTAAGTGGATCCCCAAGAGGCTTTCTTACGGTGTCTTTCCTACGCCCAGTAAGCTTCAAACAAATACGGGCTCGCACTAGGGCATGATCTGAATCTGAACATGTGCCCCAGAACGAGCGACAGTCCTCTATCGAACCCCTCCATCGGTGGCTGATGGCGATATGATCTAGCTGCGTCCAACGTTGAGACGACTTTGGAGGTCGCCAGGTCAAAAGATGTTTTTCCTTATGCTTAAAGTTAGTGTTTGCTAAGAATAGGCGGTTGGTTGTCTGAGCATACTTGCAACAGACGGTCACCATTGTCTGTTCTGTGAGCCGCGACACCATAACATCCACCTAGGTGTCATTCATTTTCACCTAGTCTACCTACTTGAGCATTAAAGTCACCAGTCATTAATACTATATCAGAGCGCCTAGCTTTTTGGAGGAGTTCCGAAAGCTTTCTGTAGAACTCGTCCTTCACCTCGTCTGAACTGCAGTCAGTGGTGGCATAGGCAGATACGACGAAGATGCAACGACGTGTGTCTCTCTTTACGAGTCCTTACTGTACCGTTCAGTCGGACGGCGCAGAAACGACTATCTACAGGGACCGACTCTAGGAGCGCTAGATCTGCCCTAGGACTCAGTGCCATACCTACACCGGCGAGAACCCGGGAAGCAGCATCGGGGCTACCGGATACACGAAGAGTAAATCGGGCTGCTTCTTTAGCATTGTTCTTAACTTGTCATTCAAAAATCTCATCGTTCTTTTTAACTTTTTGCTTGTTTGTTTGACATCTTACAGAATCATGTGTTGCTTCAAGTAATTGTGTATGACCGCTTAAACTTCAACTCCATGCTCTACAAAAAACAAGTGATTGGCAGTTGGAAGTAAGCAGTTCAAGAATCGACATCTTAATAACGTTTATTCTCTTAACAGATTGCCTGCCAGTCTAGCGATGCCTTTGGTTATACGTTCTTATACCCTTTGCTAGCATTTTATATAGGCGTCTGAATAGGTCATGTTGTTAATCGACGTAATTAATGTGTCAAGGCAAACAGAAAGAGGCAACTTGTTGAAATATTATGAAGTTGAGATAGAGGCAGCCCAAATATTCAAGCAAGACACTGTATATGTAGATTAAGGATATAATCGATTTGAATGACTGGGATATTTGTTAGGTATGTTCAATCACCACATCAACTTAGTAGTTATAGGTTCGTTATTCAAACCACACTGCACATACCTTGACATAAACGACACACGCAAAACGTGTTCACTGACGCAGGGATTAATCGAAAGCGGTCAGTTTAATGCAGCCCTGTAAAGTTTGAGATTGCTGTGTTGAACGGATATCTCTTGCTCCACTATAACTCCCTGGTTCAAGCATTTTTCCTGGGGTAGTTATAAGCTATAATAGTGTCCAGAAATTGGGAGTTTGTCAGAATGAATGATCATACATATACGGATTCTGTGTACAAGTCTTGTTAGCTGTTCAAGACAGATTTTTCAATATATATTATTCCTAACCGTATTCGCTGACCTATACCATGAACATTAAAGAGTGATATGATAATATGGAATAATCCTCGTTTATGTTGAAAAGTAATCTTCTACAACTTTTTGCACATAAACTATCATAACTTCATCACTGCATGTTTTGCTGCTCTTTTAAAAATTCCAATAGTTGTTAACACGAGTCTTTGCTCAGCTGGGTGATTTGAATCCTGAACTTGTATCAGATCAGAAAAGAAAGCTCGTAATGGTTCCCCCTCAAATGGCTCGTGTTGGAACGAAGAAGACTCTTTTTGTAAATTTTTCAACTATTTGTCGTTCTTTAAACAGAGACCAATCTCATCTCACCACATACATACTAACTGAATTAGGTACTCAAGGTTCGGTGGATGCTAATGGTGCATTACTTATTCGCGGACGTTATACAAGTAAACATATGGAGCCTGTGCTAAGAAACTACTGTAGTAAGTGGCATGATCTCTGGTTTGTTAAATCTATGCCATTGTTTTTACTTGTAATTAAAAGTGTTAGTTTGATTTTGCTACTCATGAACTTACATTACGTATTTAGCACCTCTTTTTGGAGGTACTAATATTACGTAGTTCTCAATGCCTGTGTTACGGAGTTTCTCAGTCCTATGGTTTTTACAAATCTTTGACGGTAAATAGCTTAAAGGTATTTCCACTCGTCTAAAATAATCTCAGTAACCTTCGTTCTCCAACTTATAGCAACAAAATGAATTGATTGCAATTTTCTGGTAATGGGCATACGTATCACATGTCCCAACCACCTCAACTGATGAAGTCTCACTTCTGATCGAAAACCAGTAACCTAAGCATATCTTCTACTCTCACTAGCCATGTTTAACAGCCATAAAGTAGGACGGAGCGAACTACCACGCAGTACACTCGTCCTGTAGTTAGCAAACAGATATCTCGCCTACGCCATAAGTGACGCAGGTTGGCAAAAGCCAATCGAGCTTTCTCTATCAATGCTGAGATTTCGTGAGTCACCAGACCATCAGTAATGAAGAGACTCCGGAGATAAGTGAAGCGGTCTACACGTTCGACTACTTCACTCCCTATCACTAGTTCAGGTGCCGATGCAACCCAATCTTGAAGCAGCATTTTGTAATTCGAATGTGAGAAACTCATCTCTAACATGCTTGCATTGTTGCTTAGGCTGGTCAGAAGACTCTGCATTTTGTCAGCGTCTTCACCAAGTAGGACTATATCATCGGTATATTGTATGTCAAACAATGAGTCTCCTGCTAGAAAGTCTAATCCTGAAAAATCAGACGAAGATAATATATCTAGCAGCATGTCTATGATAAAATTAAACAAGAATGGGGTAAATGGATATCTCTGACAAACCACTTGAAGTAAAGAGTTCTGATGACAGTTCGCTATAAGCTTTCACTCGACCTGTATTGTTCGAGGAGACAGTTTTTTTCTTTTACTTATGCCTAAAGTTAGTGTTTGCTAGAAATAGGCAGCTATCTGACCACAGATACATCAGACGGTCGCCTTTGTCTGTTTTATTAGCCGCAATACCATAAGACCCGCCCATTTGTCTTTTTTTCACTCAGTCTACGTAGTTAAGCCTTGAAGTCACCAGCCAGTATTACTTTATCGAAGTGATTAACATTTGAAGGAGTTCCGAAAGCTTACGGTAAAACTAATCTTAAATCTTGTCTAAACTGCGGTCAATGGTTGCGTAGGAAGATATGACAAAGAGGCAACGGCGAGTTTCCCTATCTTTACGAGTCCTTACTGTTCCGTTTAGTCGGACAGCACACAAGCGACTATCTACTGGGATCCAGTCTAAGAAATCCAGTTCTGCCCTAAGAATCAATGCTATACCTACACCGGCGAGAACCCGGGAAGCAGCATCAGGACTTCCAGATACACGAAGAGTAAATCGAGTTGCTTCTTCATCTTGACTTGGTGAGGTCAAGGGAATGACGGTATTCGGATCTTGTATGCGCGTTTCCGAGATTCTAGATTCCTAGCTAATGAAGCCTGTTACCCTGCTTGACACAATGTCCGTACATTAAATGCTCCAACATATAGTTTAGAGGGGGGTTTCAGGAATAACGTTTCGGGGACTCGAAGCGTTAGCAGCAGTGCTTCAGGGTGGTAAAGGGATGTGAGAAGAGTTAGTCGTGAAGATAAAGGTTGTTAGGTGGTGTAGGAAGAACCTAATTGAGACCAATTTAGTCTCGCGTTTTGTTACGGGTATGAAGGCGGATGTCACTTCTCGGCTGCCCACACCGTGGAAGGGTGTTTATTGAGTAACCTGAAAAGGAAGGTAGAATAGTATCGGTCTTCGAGATCTGGAAGCGTGACCGTAGGCCCAAGGGCCAACCGCTTGAGGCCGGTCACGCACAGCATTTTTATGAGTTTAAAAGTATTAGCTCCGCTCTTGTTTGATAGGCCTTACCTCCGGAGACGGAAATCTCTAAGGTAAGGTGAGGTGTGACATATTTAAGGTCGAACTTTTACAACCCCTTTCTTCCTTGTGAGAAGGCGGCATCGCTGCAGATGCTGGTTGTCCGAGGGAAACACCTTACTGCTGTCACATGCCTCTGCAGTCAGCAGTACGACTTTGGCCTCAGACCTTGAGTAGCTGCTTTTAGTCTCATCGTTCTCCAATCGACCTTCCTGGCTTGGTGGGGCTTACAGAAACATATGTTCCAACCAATATAGCTCGGTTGGGTCATGAAGATAGGCAAGCCTGACCACCTCGTCAAGGTAGCAGCCACGGTCGTGTAGCGAAGAAATTGAAATTTAAGAAGCCCTGTACAATGGCGTGGGTAACATCACAAAAGTTTAATATAGGTTACTGCTACTACATGCACTACTACGGAATTTAATTCTGACACTTTCAACTGTCTGTGTTTATGTGTTGGGGCAACTTGAAGTGATAAATGTGTGTATCAAGTTACACATTGCTCCTGACTGTTTTGCGGAATTTTTCATACGAGTATGAGTATGTTACCATCATGGGACTGTAACCGCTGCCTACTCGTATCAAAAAGTTAAAACGAATTATTTGGACGAAAACCAATATCCCGGTTTTTTCGGCACGCATAGATTGTTTAATGGCGATGAAACATGATCTCAATGAAACGTTGATCTAAAGGCGCTCTAGCCTATCGTTCTTCATCGGCTGCACCTGCAACCGTTGCTCGCCTTCTTGATCAAAGTCTTGAGGGGCGGCTGCCTAGAACATTTCCTGTTATGGTTGGATCGTCTGATCATTATCCCAGCCTTCTAATATTATGTCCATTGCTTTTCTTGATGCATAAGTACTTATGTGTTTGTTTCAACCAACAATTATATTTAAATTAATAAAAATGTCTTATGACTCACATTTTTGAGTTGTGTCTACTTAACTATTATTCAGGAACCTACGTGTTATGTGGTACCTGCCAGTCTTCTGAAACAGATTTGTGCAAAGACTCTAGACTTCTGTTCCTCCACTGTCGACGATGTGGGTCTCGGTTTACAGTAAAAACAGTAACTTCCGGGTTCCAAGCACTGACAGGAAAACGTGCCGCCTTACGCGCAAAAACACAATAACCTTATACTAACTGTTGCAAGTTTTCTACTTCATTAAACTTGAATTGCATATCTTTGAAATAAAGCAATATTTTATCTCTAGTTCAATACCTTATATCTTATAATATGTAGCGGTGCTTTTTCCGCACCTACTCATTGGTTTTAACGGGATTCTCAAACCGTATTAGCGTAATTTCTTCCTGTTTACACAGCACTTTCTCAAGATTTCTCATGATAACCTTTGAAGATGTTGGATATCCTGTAAGATGGTTGGTAGACATTATTTTTAAATGATTAGAAGACTTATTTCATTAATATTTAAAACCGTGTAAAATTGTGAAGAAACTCTATATACTACAAGGTCTGTAGTATGATGACCGGTAAGGTAATGACTAGACTTTTTGGGGACCTAGTATTTACTCGGCAAGCGTCGATTTGAAATTTGACTGAATAAACCTGTTTCAGTAGTATAAGAACAAACCATTAATTTGACTCGTAAGATTCTCTTATGTACTCAAATGTAGCGAATCTTTACGTTTCTTATTAGGTGCGGAACTAGCGGTTAACACAAATTTTAGTATTGCAGCTTTGATGTCCACAAATTAAAGACATTTTCGAGGATAACTTAAGTGATTGCTTTTGGGGAGTAGTTTTCGGAATTACCTTCCACAAGTCTTGATTGACGATGACTGAGCGAGTGATCGTCGCCAAGTTTGTATGGGATTTCTAGTTTGGTTGGATGCGACCTCTCCTATCCTAGAGATAAACGTTCGTTTTGATCACAGGAAACTTGGTGAGAGGAATCAGAACAAGACTCAATACCATCTTAAGTCACAGGGTTACTTATTTCTCATTGGTTTGACACTCCTCCGAACGACATCTGTAATGTCCTGAAAATGTGTTGTCATACAATGCACCAGGTGAGTGGAGCTGTCTTGAGTAGCGAGTTCTTGGAGCTTACAACCAAGCATGAAATATAAAATAATTCAGCCCGTTGTTCACGTGTCGAATTTAAAATGCTAGGCACGTTACGTAGAATTGATTAGAAGAGGCTAACCCGTCTCATTGATAAACGACTGCTTGAGAATTAGCCTATGTCAAAGCGCGTGTACTGTGACTAGATGACATGATTTCGATCATAGGCAAAGACACCACCTAAGACATTCCCAACCTGGATCTCTGTATAATCTTCGAAAACTTCATGCAACTGGAACATAGTGACTGTACATCGATATCAGAAGTATAACGCGCTCAGATCTTTTTGTGACACAAGTACGCCCGGCTAGATAGTCTACAGAAGATCTGTAGTAACGTCACACTTGTACGTTCACATTTTTCGAATCGCTAAGTTATTGAAGGGTTGAGGTTTTGGCTGAATGCGAGTGCACACACTAGTTCTGTACTTAGGTGTATATTCCAAATTTTGCTTGTGATATTCGGTTGCTGGGGACCTGCGATACTGCTCTTACGACGCTCGTGATACAAATCGCTATAGCATTGTTGCGTGAGATATTTCAATACTGTCGTACGTGATATTATACACGAATCGTATTCTAATATTTCTTGTCAGATGATTGCTGGTTGAAAGCCGTACCTCCGACTGACATTTAGGACTGTCACTGTTTAGCGTATATGCACTTCGCGCGGATCGCCTCGACATTACTTCCAAGATACAAGAATTATTGGAAGAGATGGACGAAATTCAGCCAAAAAACCCCTTCAAGCTGTTAAGTTCCACTATCACAAGTGAGTTTTGGAGTATTTGACTGTGCTTTAACAGGATATGTGCACCAGTACGGTCTGTCGAATTTTCTTTGATATTCATACAAAACGTTACGAATACTAGGAACACTCACATTAGGACTATTAGGTTACTGCGCAACCTTACGATTTCTGAGTCATTAATTCTCATGTTGTGATCAAATAGGTACCTTTTGAGAATGGTTATACGAGTATTTGACTCCATCGAAAAACCGGAAATTAAAATGTATCAAAACGAAGTATAACAGTCCCAATACCAATCGTCACAAAATTTCTTACGATGAACACGAAAATGCAGTAATACTTTGATTATCATATCGCCAGAAAACATTACTACTAAATAACGTCTAAAATATTGGCTCGCTTTTACGCACCCAGAACAATTTATTAAATAAATAACTAGCAAGAAATGGAGAGCATTAAATCGGCTTTATTTTGAAGTGCAATCCAATCAGCGAGAACACCAAACACTTAAGGTCTTGAACGAGGTAATAAAATGTTCTTAATCCATCAGGATCCCTTTATTTGTAATTAGATAAATTAACTCTTACTTGCTATTTGTGATATCGATTAAAGACCCGATTTTCGAAGTCGTGAAGGATATGTGTTCATCGCCGCAAACAATTTCAAGCTCTTGACGACCAACTCTGTCAGGGACTGGCCATGAAGCATCATCCTCCGACATAACATCGCTCTCCAAGACGATCCTTTTGAGTTCTTCCATTACAGAAGGGCTCACGTACGCCTGAACAAAGATGAGATTCGTAAAGTAATGGTACCTCTTTGCGAATCATTGTGTCATTTTTATAATTGGAGTTGTTGGCATACCGTAACTTACCTAAAAATACATACGAAGAAAGCATATTATACCTTCAGGTCTGAACTCGAACTCAAGAAACTCATGTCCAAACTTTCCTTTGTGCCCAACGTAGTATCGCAAATAAAACGAGCTGGTCATTAGTCACTCTAACTTGAACGAATACCAATGTAGTTCTAATAAACGATCAGTAGTTTCTCAGGAGCTACCTAAGTATTTAAAGATAAAAGAATAGCAAGTTATAGCACCATAAATCTCGACTAATGCAATCAGGAACGTATAGAGTACATCACTGTAACAAGATAAACAGCCTTAGCTATGATTAAGTTGAGGTTAATGAATTTGAATTACATAAACACAGGGCATTCTGAGTCTACACATTATTACTAAGAGTATGGTATCCTGATGTCGTTTCTGACTGAACCCAGTTCAAAGTCGTAAACGACACCGACCAATTTCTACCAAAAAATAAACCCACTGACTTTATTAACACAAAAGGATAGTTGAAACGGTTGCTAATGGCTTATCATTCTACCTCGATACAACAAAACCGCAGGTGACGACAGACACCACCTCGTTCAAAATTATAAAGAACCCGCCCTACCTGCTCAGTAAAATGTCTATGATTCAACACATGACCTTGACAGGTGCAATAAAGAAGTATCATGCAGAAATCGACCTAAAAGTTTGATATTTATCTACTTTCCAATTCACAATGTCCATAGTGTCATTTTACGTAGAAACTGCACTATTTAAAAATTGTAGTGTTACTGTTACTCGACGTTCTCAAATGAAAATTTTGAACTTTATTACACCTCACAGTTATCACTTTTAATTTAACTAAATCACAAAAATATCATTTTCTACTAACATAATGTCACATTTGACAATAACAGTCTATTTATATTCTTTGCTGATTTCTGTAGGTTCAGATATCAAATTTGGCATCCCTTTCTTATTGTAGATACTAGTTTTTGTCTTTATATTATTTCGAAACCTATCCGTTCATAAATATCGTTATTCTATAGCTGGATTATCTTTGGTTCTAATTCGTTTGGGAGTTTTCGCCGAGCAATCATCGCAACTAATACACACTAATCCGACACCTTCATCTTCAGAACGGCTAAGTTAGAACGCAGTAGTTTCGTTGTGCCATTATTGCGGCTCTAGCATATAAGCTATCTGGAGGTGTCTTATTACTGCTAAAAACATATTATCAAGCCCAAACGTAATGATTTCAATCCGACCGCTTCGTCGATATATAAAGCCTTTTCTAGTCTTAAAAATACGCTCAAAGTACATTGAATCACACTGGTTTAAAGGGAAAGAAATGGATAAAAAGAGGTATGTAGGGAATTTAAAATCAGGAAACTGGAATTATTTTGTACCCCGCTCTCCAATTAATGAGTTCCATAAAGTGACAAAAGATCTCATCGCAAGGCCAGGTCAATATCCAGCAGGAAGCTCAACAACCTCACCATCTAAGTTATCGATAACCATCCAGTCTTACAATGTATGTAGGTCTTTTGTGATTGCTATCTCAGTAAAAAATGAGGAATGGATACAAATGTTGATAAGGAAATGACCTAATGTCGTCAAAGAAAGGCCAGTCTAAAAAGGGATACTCTGAAGTCGAAGACTAATCATGTTGATAGGCCAGTTTTCCTTCATATATTCCAGGAAAGAGAAAGATTTGGGTGTAACATCGAGTTGATGAGTCTGTAACCAATTTGTGCCTCATGATGCCTCTGCGGTACTGAGTAGTTACCCCTAAGCCATGTAAATCAGATGTCAACACAGTTTTTTAACAGTAAGCAACCTGAGTGGCATTATTTATTAGAAATAGGAACCTTGCAGTCACTATTTACGACGTATACCATAAAAGTCGAGCGGACAAACTGGTTGCTTTCCGCCATGAGGGAGCTCTTTTTCAGTATAATTGTCCAAATCTCCTTGTAATACGATTTCGTGGTAGGAAGTTAAAACCAGTGCAAGGTTACGAAAATGCGTCGTAGACGTGGTTTACTAGGAACGGTAACATCAATTTCACTGATTTATTACACCCTACTACATCATAAGAAGCCGTCAGAAAACAAAATATTCTGCCCCACAGACCTGGGTAGATTGAAGTTATCGTCCCGCCGTTATTAATGCTAGTATCATTAACTTATCTGCAGATCGTCGTATTCGGGTGCATCTTTAAAGATCAAGCCACCTAAAGGTAATTTTGTTCATGTATTAAAAACACATGCTATTTTTACTAAGGAGTACAAAACTATGTATGCGTCACATACAAAGAATGAGAAGAGGGAGGGAGTTCCATGGTAGAAAATCAATAAAAACTGGCATATAAGTAACACTTTAGGTAAGGGAAATGCAGCCAAAAATATCTCATTCGGTTGAAGTTCCTCTCACTTATGTGAGGAAATACATCAGGGCAGACACTAAGCTGCACTATCCCTGTGACCATTTCTGGGGAGTTGCGGAGGTTTAACAGATCTCAGTCTTGTATAGCTCTCATTCATACTGTGACACCATGTAATAAACTGACCATCCCTCTTATTTATCATTACAGTCCTAGCGCTGACAAATAATTCGGCACGTGGATGTTGCCGAAACGGCGTTCACACTGGTCCGTTTACGGGCCACCGAAATCGGAATATCAAGATGGTGGCACAAGAATAAATATAATTGCCGCGCCTCAAGCTAATATTTTCGATCAAACGGACAAATTGTTTGGCGTAGTTACGGCAGCCAAATTTGAACAAAAGTGGAAAAGTCGATCTGTCAGATATTTTTGGAACCATGTGACTAGACAACTGACCTTTGCCACACCACACTCTTGTGGACGGGTATTCCTTAGCGAAGTCGAGGTTGTGTGGTCAAGGAGGTAATATGCAATCGCATTGCTGGAAGAGATTGATCTTTTCGTGACTTCCTCGGCTACAAACTCTAGGATGTATTCAGCTTTAGTTAGTTCCCCGAGGTTCCTATCATTATTTGAGGCCCATATAAGCGTGGGGGTGCTAAATGGTTAAGCTGATCGCTAATTTTGGCAAGTGCGTTTTAAAACCGTAAGCGATATTCTTCCGAAATAATAATAATAATAATTTATTCTCAAATAACTACGTTACAAGAGTCACGCCAGTTTACAGGCTAGATCAAATTGTCACAAATGCTTTCACAATCACTGTAAAGTTATAGCAGTTAAAATAAGTATGAGTCAGTTTCTGATTGCATAATTACACCATGTCACTGACAGAAACAGTATTGTACAGCCTCATTTTCAATAATAGAGTACAAATAAGGAAGGAAGGTGCACAATAGGTTCTTTTGGCGATTTGTCGAGATCAATAGTGAATTTATTGGGTAAGGTCATATGGAACGCGCTTGATATGAGCCGTGATCCAGACAGTCATGTACCTAGGGTGCATGTTCCCTAGAGTAGCCAAGGATTTCCCACCGTGAATGGGGTTCTGAAAAGGTGAAGAGAGCGAGAAAAAGGCAGCAGTGTGGCAAGTGTATATATATAACCAAAGCACTACTTAACCTGTTATGTTGAAGTAGTCAATACAGTAGTAAGTCGAGATAAAACTCCTGACGTTGTTTCACTCTCTTGTCAATCTGACATGTAGGTCAGTAGCTTGGATAATGGCTACCTAGTAAAATCACTTTCTTCTGTTCGGGCTCCTAGGCATCATCTCGGCCAACTGATCGGGAAATTTTAGCATGAATGAGTAAGGAAAGTTAAAATCTACTAAATTTGTCCTAGTTTAGATTTCTGCTTCAAATGGACCAGTGGCTAACTAGCCTGTACTAGTCCTGAAAACGGCGAAACCTCAGTTTACCGAACTTTCTTTTTAACATATGGACATTCGGAGCTTCAGTCACATACTTAGGTCAAGATTTCCATTATTTGGCGATTCATTGTGAGAATCGGTAGTCAGCGTAAAGGTAATTTGTTTTGGGCTTGTGAACTTTTTAAGAGGTTCTTATAAGTCCGCCGCCTTGGGAAAAAAGAAACAATAGAGTATGCCGGATGCAAATTTATCGACGAGAAATCCAAAATTGTGATTAAGTCGTCTCCTGTCCCCTTACACAACAACGGAGATGAGCCTAATTTGAACGGTCTCTCACCAAACGGTGACTTATACAAAGTTTATCGGACGGCAACGTGATGTAGTATTCAAGTCTTTGACTAGTGATGACTCTTGGCTCAATGTGTGTCTGGAAAGTGGGTGGCTTAGTGCTATTCAGCGTCAATGAATCTGTACTGTCATGATCAACAGACAGCAATACTCTAGGAAGCACTTATCAGTGACTTTCAAATTGTAGACCGTGGGTTATATAAAAGCATAGACTACCAACTTCATTAATTGCCACTCTTCAACTTTTGATACATTCAGCTTGAAAGAAAATTAATGTTGATAAGAGGTTAGGAAAGTTACTTCGTGTCGAAAATTGCAATACTTCAGCAAGCGAAAAATAAACTAACTTAGTCTAAATTGAAGAATTTGTTTTACATATTACCTCTGGCATGATTTTATGTAGTCTCACTGTGGACTAATCCGAAAGCTGTTTCGTGAATGGTTGCTTAATCCACATGAAGTTTTGAACTAAAGAATTTTCCCCAAGACTGTTGTCAGCCAGATTACGTTTTTAGATCCGTACTGTGTCCATCATAATTTGACACGAAAGCAACCTTACGAATTTATTAACGTCTATGAAGGTACAATTTTTGTCCTTTTTTAAAAAAAACTATGAGATTCTTCAATTCCTAGAATAAATCCGTCAACTTCCTCAGTGGGCCTGTTTGGTTGTTATAAACATTCTACCTTAGAGCAATGAAAACTGTCCTAAACTTCACATTAACTATTAGGCTCTAAGTGACGTGTTGGTTTCATTTACGATATTTATTATAGATGGAATGCCATTCTCCGAAATATTCACAAAAGGATAACTATTATTTAGTAGGGTCGAGTTCACTAATGGTACCCTATTAAGTTTAAAACTACAGCCACAGTACCCTTACTTGATTCACCGTGCGGGGTTATTTTTATAGCGGTTAGGGTTAGGGTTAGTGCCCACCTGCGTCACTTATGGCGTAGGCGTGATATCCGTTCTCTAATCAAAGGACGAGTATACTGGGCAGCAGTTCGCTCCGTTCTCCTATTTGGCTGTGAAACATTGCCAGTGAGAATAGAAGATATTCGTAGGTTACTGGTTTTCGATGATAGGTGTCTTCGAGTAAGCAATGCTGTCGTTAGGAAACGAGTACTAGGCAAGGATGGCAGATCAACCGATGAAGTGGTGAAAATTCATCAGCTGAGGTGGTTGGGACATGTCTTGCGTATGCCTAACCACCGACTGCCTCGACGAACTTTGTTTTGTAGTGTAGGAGTAGGTTCTAAGAAAGTTAGAGGCGGCCAGACCAAAACATGGCACAAATCCATGAAGTCATTTACAAGTGGGCTGAGTCATGTCGCTAGTTGTCGACTACCTGGTTTGGTTCCGCGAGATGATAATGATCGATGGTTAGAGACCTTGAATGACATGGCTCAAAATCGTTCGCAATGTCGCCCGTGCATTTATGCTTTGTGTTTCCTCAAATCCTAATCTTCTGGGTTCTTCAACAACTCTAGTTTCGACTCTCTAAACTTTTCTCACTGAATCATACTTCTTGAATAATATCTTCTAACCCCAACCTCTCCGATTAATTCTGATTCCCTTACTACCTCTACTACTATTGGATTTGAGTCTGCTCTTCACGAGCTCTAGTTAGACGTCTAAGTATAATTGAGGCGAACAATGTAGAAACTATATTAGTTGGACTTATTCCCCTGTGATTGTCAAAAGAAGACTTTTGTCCATTCTTATAGATTGGGACAATCAGTGATTAAGACCAGTCGGATGGGATTACATCCAGTTCCCAGATTCTACCCTAAGATCTCAGTCAACGTAGCTGCAAAAACTGGACCACCATCCTTAAATATCTCAGGGGTAAGTCCTCGTCCTCGCTTTAGATTTCCTAACGCTTTCTCAAAGTCATTAAGACTAGGTGGACTTAGGTCAATTTGCCATTCAGGATGACTGGAGAACGTGGGTAACCAAAGAGTGGCTCGAGGCCAGTTGAACTGATCCCAAAAGTGTTCTGCCCATCGATCCAGTCTCCTGGATTGAGAATAAATAATAGTCCCGTCATTTTCTTAATGGATAATAAGACCATCCTTTTCCGAGATAGTCTCACTCACATTCGGGTTCTTAATACCAGTTTCCTTGATAAGTCGGAAAAGTTGTCTACTGTTGCCTATCGCCGCTGCCTTTTCCATCGCTTTTGCTTTCGCCACCCACCACTGTTCGCGGTCGTTACGTAGGCTTATATAAGTCTGCGCCTAAGTTGACTTCGTTCTTCATCATGTTCAGAGCCAGGTGGGATGCGTTTCCGAGCACCCATCAGTTCCGTAGATGCTACGGAGATCCACGGCTTCATTATAATCTTATGGTTTACCTTACTAGCAGGTATCACTGCTGTTTCCACAGCCTTTTTGATATCATTCCAATATGACTCTGGATGGGAATCGCTTAAATGGTCGCCTAACTGTCTTTCTAGTTGTTCCTGAAATATATTCTTCGCCTTATTATCATTAAGTAAAACCCTAAGAGGCTTCCTTACGGTGTCTTTCCTAAGTCCAGTAAGCTTCAAACAAATACGAGCTCGCACTAGGGCATGATCTGAATATGTGACCCAGAACGAGCGACAGTCCTCTATCGAACCCCTCCATCGGTGGCTGATGGCGATATGATCTAGCTGCGTCCAACGTTGAGACGACTTTGGAGGTCGCCAGGTCAAAAGATGTTTTTCCTTATGCCTAAAGTTAGTGTTCGCTAGGAATAGGCGGTTATCTGAGCATAGTTGCAACAGATGGTGGCCATTGTCTGTTCTCTCAGTTGCGACACCATAACATCCACCTAGGTGTCATTCATTTTCACCTAGTCTACCCACTTGAGCATTAAAGTCACCAGCCATTATTACTATATCAGAGCGCCCAGCTGTTTGGAGGAGGTCCGAAATCTTTGTGTAAAACTCATCTTTAACCTCGTCTGAACTGCAGTCAGTGGTGGCATAGGCAGATACGATGAAGAGGCAACGGCGATTGTCCCTATTTTTCCGAGTCCTTACTGTCCCGTTTAGTCGGACAGCGCACAAGCGACTATCTACTGGGATCCAGTCAAGGAGAGATTTTTCAGCTCTACGACTCAATGTTATGCCTACGCCAGCAAGACCCCTGGAAGCAGCATCAGGGCTACCGGATACACGAAGAGTAAATCGAGCTGCTTCTTTATTTTGACAAGGTGAAATCAGATTATTTTATGAGAAGTTTTTTGAGTGTTAGTTCCGTTCTTAAAGGCTCTTAGTGGGCGCCCTTACCGACGGAGACGGAAATCCGTGGTGAAGTAGGGTGAGGTGTGACATTTTCAGGGTCGACCTTTTCTAATTCAGCATCGCTGCAGATGCTGGTTGTCCGAGGGAAACACCTTACTGCTGTCACACCTCTCTACAGTCAGCGGTACGACTTACCCCTCAGACCTTGGGTTGCTGCTTTTAGTCTCATCGTTCTCCAATCGACCTGCCTGGCATGGTAGGACCTCCAGGAACATATGTTCCAGCCAGTATAGCTCGGTTGGGTCATCACGATAGGCAAGCCCGACCACCACGTCAAGGTAGCAGCTACGGTCGGGACTGCACTCTGCTAGTTGGAAGCGCTTTATTAAAATGATCATTTAGTCGGTAATAAGACTCATCTTTATAGTATCTGCGCTCCAAGCCATCTGTGTGTAGGAGAGATTACAAAAGATATTTCCTCATACAAGTTTCTCACTAATGAAGCCTTCTAAAAGTAGCATCAAACAAACCACTTAGCAGGGACCCAATAGTTAAGTAATAAAAAGAAATGATCTTACAGTAATCGGTGACCAAAGTTATTTTGTATACCGTTCGTTATCCATCAGTGTTACTCTTCTTTACACTCATCCGTCTCAGTCCAAAGTATTAATCTTACTTAGACAGGAGAGCAGATATTCCAATAATTCTAGCCCAAATTTCTTTATTTTATTGTAGTTGAATAAATGGAAACATTGTTCACTATCGCTATGGAATATTTGTAACATACCTTCGTTGGAGAAATTTTAAAGTTCAAACAGGTATGGAAGAGTCATCTGGAACAGAAAGCCTTATCGCAAACGAAACCTTAAGCACTGAAATGACCAACAACGGACGGAAACCTGACCATAACATTATCCTACCTAAGGATAACCATAAGCCACGTTCTGCATTATCTGTACGTCATCGTCGGAAGCGGTCTCATGTGTCACCATTATCCCAGTCTGTGAATGCAGTTAATCACATAGAATCACCTTCATATGGAGAATATGGCTTTCCATCGTTAAAAGATCATGTTGAGATTGTAGGATCGACAGATGAAGACACTGTACTACTTAGTTGCAATCCTGAACATTTTTTACATAGTCAGTCAACTCTCAGTGAAAAATCTGTGGACTCTCTAAAACTCACTAAACTTGATCCAGAATTCCGTGACTTGATTTCACGTTATGTCTGCTCAGAATATGTAGTTCATTGCCTTGAGCTAGCAGGTTTTTGTACGCCATATGTTGTTGCTCGACTAGATGATCATCAGTTGCAGAGGCTCGAAACGTTTGTTGGACATGCTTGCTCGATTATGAAGTCAGTTACCTTAAGAGAGCATTTCGTAGGTCCCATTTTCGCAAATGATCCATTAAAGTTTAAACTACCCTCAGGTGCTGCTTGTGGAATTCTGTTGGCCGCGCACGAAATACGTCGGAGATATCGTCAGACTCAGTTACCTTTAGAGGGTCCAAATTCCATTGATGAGGATATCATAATTGTCCCAGACTCATGTGATCAGAGCTTCAATGATATGGGTTGTCAAACAGATTCCTCAATGTCCCACTTGATTTCATCGACATTTTCACCACCTGTCACTCAAGCTGACCCATTACCAAGCAATGTTATGGAAACCTCAGATTTAACATCTCCTAGGTCGGTGGTAAATCCGACGTCGAGAAACTACTTTTCAGATTCTCCAAACCATTCACGAATGTCAGAACCAGCTGCTCCATCCTCCAATGGGTCAGCAGTAATCATGGCCGCTGCTCTGCAAGCTGCTATGAGTGGGAATGGATACAACAATATCACTTTATTTTCTAATTCCTTACCTGGTGATAACAGTTTAATATCACTCCCTGGTTTAAGTAGCTGCAACTCTGGGGATACTAACATCTCACCTGTTTCATCACGTAATACGATCCCAAGTTCGAACATGCCCCCAAGTGCCATCACAACAAATACTATACCATCTCATTCTAACTCTGTGATCAGTTCCTTTGTGATCGGAAGTGGGAATGGATTATTTGAAAACGAGGGAGTCAATCTAGAGCGCCTGAAACAGCATTCTTCAGCTAGTGCAATCAGGTTAGCATCACGACAATTTGTTAACGCTTACCTTATGCGTGGTCGAGATTTTGATATGGAAATGGAATTGTCAGTGACACCTGAGGGTTTTAAGCGTGTTACTGGTATATTTTATTGTCATCTCTGCAGAGAGAAACGTGAACGTACATCAGCTGTACGCTTTTCTATAGCTCGCAACAGGTATCCAGTTTTGAGTAATGTATTATCTCACTTAAAAACACATTTTCACTATCGGGGTCAAACGTTATCAGGATTGCACACCACAGTTACCCAACAACCTCAGAACTTACTCAAATCAGCTACTATGCTTAATGACCCTCTTATTGCAGAAGGTTCAGATCAGTCTCCAGGACCATTCAGCAGTTTGAATCATCGCACGGATTTAAGAATGGAACATACAATTAATTCATCTAATACACCGCTCCTACCCACGTCTGTTTCGCTTAATCAGTGTCAAATACAAATGAAACCTGAGCCAGGAAATTACATGTATACTATTGGAGCTGAGAGCATTGAAGGCTCTAGTTCTGTGAATCACATTTTTGACAGTTTATCTCCATCACATAGGTTAAACTCACCCAATACTAAGGATCCTTCGCCTAATCGAGGTTTGGAACTTGAAGTCATTATCCCATCGCGACCAAATATAGGTTCTAGTAGCCAGTGTAATACACTGACTTCCTAATGAGCACCTCAATTTCCCTTCATAAGTATGTCATTCTCAAGTTATGGTAACCAATATGCCTATCCCAAATATTTTTGTAAGCGTTGAAACTCCGAACATTTAGACAAAGTTTAGCATTTTTACCTATTTCATATAGAAAATTTTATGTAAATACCAGTAGTTCACTGTGATCTATATTCGGATAATAGTTTGTACATTTGTATATACATTCTTTCATTAATTTCTCAGTTATCCTTCGTTTTTGCAGTTTAAAAGTATTTTTAATCGTAAAATGAAATCTGCATTAAAAAACTGGAAAAGACAAATATTTTTTTCTAACCCGGAACTCACCGAAAGTATGCATCCGAGATCTTACATGGGATCAAAATCCTATGTTCTCGGGAATGGCAGCACAGCGTTACCGAGGATTAGTAGGTCTCTCAGTTTCATATGGTCATGTACTGATGAGTTTGTGACAATCGACGATAATGAAGCTTTTCATAAGTACTTTGGGAAATTTCTGATTGGGATAATATAATGAAAGCGAGCATGTTTGTGTATGAACATATCTTCGTACATTTTATCAGAAACAAATCCTTTCTAAGTATTCAAGATTGCAAAACTACTCTGGCATACTGATATCTTTAAATGACTAAATATTAGTGTAGTTCACCACTTCTGATCAAGATTCAAACAGAGCCAAGTAGGAAAAGATGACTTAGTTTGTGCATATATCCCGTCGAACTTTAGGTGTGAACATCATTAACTAGTTACTACTCTTTATGGACGTTGATGATAAAATTGATTTTTTTCGAAACGACTAATCACCACACAATCAGAACCTTTAGGAGAGTTTTATCCCACGATATGCTTCAAGGTTTGTTCCATTTATGATATTTTGGGGATTTCTTATAGATGGAGTACCATTCTCCGAAATATTCACAAAAGGATAACTATTATTTAGTAGGGTCAAATAAGCACTGATAATTTACTTCATAAAACTGATTGAGTTCACTAATGGTACCCTATTAAATCTAAAACTACAGCCACAGTACCCTTACTTGAAAAAATTTTTGATTTTAAGTTAGTAATTCACCGTGCGAGGTTATTTTTATGGCGGTTACCGTATTTCATGCAAGCGGAGTATGAAACGCAACAGATTTTCTATGAAAACTACTTTTATCTTAGGAAATTTTGTAGTTCAATTGTAACTTACGTACTTCGCCTCCGCTTGTTTACTGTTATCTTCTTTGGTGTGCGAGAATAAGTTGAAAGACAAGAAGCCTTTCATTTAGTATTTAAACGACACTGATTAGACAAGTCAGTGTGTTTAACTACTCATTGTAACTGCCAGTTGTGCATAGCAACACCAACAAAACAGGGATTACCACATTCTGTGATAGTAAATTTTATCACATTATGAATGCGGAATAATTATTGAGTTTAGTGAAGGACAGAAATGTGAAGAAGCATATTTCAGCTCTTATTACGTTTGTTTAGTGAAAACACATTAAGAGGTCCTGTGTCTATCGCAGAGGTACTAATGATTGGTAAGGGTTATCTTCAGAAACTTCATTAAGACTCCAGCTAGCACTAAATTCACTGAGAATTGGACTCGAGCGATTATACATAGATAAGAAAACTTTTGAAACAACCGCGAACACCCTTTTCAAATGTGTAAACTTATTAACAATATATAGATAAACGAACTAAGTTCCACTTGTTTTGTAAGTTGTTTCTGGGCTAATCACGCTACTCCAATAAATGTAAGGATCCTCGTTTCAATGTTCACCTGTTCAATGCACGTGTGTTTGATGTATTAAGTCGAAATGCGACTTCTGGATAAAAACAGTTTACTTACTGTGTTAGTGAACTAATATTCAAATACATCTTTACTCATCGTAATTCCCCAGCTTTGTTATCACTGTAGTGGTTGCAATAAAATGGCGAATATTTTTTAGTTGGTAAAAAGTAGTTGCCATTCGACAATATTTCCGTACAGAGTACACTCAAGAGAGGATAAAAGACATTGCGGTACCAATTTATTCTCGGCGCGACTCCGAAGTCCTAAGCCAAAGCTTGGAAGTAATGAGGAACTCTCATTTCAAGCGGTCAAGATTTCGTAAGGCGAGACCTGGTGGATTAGGTCGTCCATAAATGTATAATAACGCTATTATAAATCAGAAGTTCAGTTAACTGGCTGATTATTGCATACATGGACAATCTAAGATGGCGACAAAATGGGTTGGGTTGATTCAAAATCATAAAGTTTCTTCGCGATGGGTTTAAGCATATATCCGTATCTAGGTAACATATTTACAAATATCGAAGATTAAGACAATGAAGTGGATAAATATCATAGTACGTTTGTGGTGCTATAGTAGTAAACTCAAGCTACTCAGCGCTGAGGAGTTCGACAGAAAATACCAAAGGCATGTAAAAATATAAGCCTGCTCTTCCTTGGTCCTATTTTGACATAAATGAATCAGGCGATCACTTTCAGCGTGTCTATGGTCTAGTAAGCTTAAAAGTTCAGAAACGATCATACAAGCAAGACTACGAAATAAACTTTACATATATGCCATCAAAGGCTCAGTCGATCGACATACTTGTAAACGTCTCCAAATAAGGAGTACCTGTTAGCCCTGTTTCGAACCCCAGCATTCAAAAACGTGGAGTTACATAAAACCAGGCATTTCTATACGAACAACGGTACTTCGTTACTTCTAATACGAGTTTAGAGGATGCTTCTTGTCTGGAGAATTGACCAAGAATTTTATTCAGATTGCAATGGTGATTTGGAACGAAATTTCGTCTCTGTTTAGAACTTATCTGATTATGGATAAATTGCAAATACAAAGCATTCTCATAAAAAAGGAATGATTACTCACCCGATAGTGTATTTTCCAAGAAAACACTAAATAATATTTTACCTTCTACGTTTCCATGGTATTTTAGAATCCGAATAACAGAAAACTGTTACAGCTCTAGTTAATTAGTTTTTTTAAACATGTCAAGATGAAGTGTGACGAGGGATATTAATGCATAATTTGTTATGCAAGAGAAACCTAAGGTCTGCCTGTGTTACTTTAAAAGTAGCTAAATCTAGATTTGTTACCAGTCTCTGTGTCGTCCACCCGTTATTATGAAGTGATAACACTTGTGGGCTTCCGCTTCAGGAAGTTTGAGGTAGTCGATAGGTTCAGGTTGCATAATTACTGCATACATAAATCTTGTTTACATTCATTCTTCCTCACTCTGCTTTGTGTTTGATTGTGGATGCTACTGACTTGATGTAGTATGTAGACGATTGGTTCTAGGACCCTACTAGCAACCCAATAAGTTCCTGAAAATGCCGACTCTGGGTAAACTTGTTAGGCCTAAACAACAGCTGTAATGCTTCTGACTAGGTTGACGAACTCGGCATGTATCATGATTCTTCTAGAAATCATCTACAACTACGAAACAAACACTAAACTCAGTTCCGTGGCGTCATACCGATGTAAAATATAGTAATAATTTCAATCCATATTTAATAGAAACTATCAGCCCATCTTATGAAGCAATCATAAACAAATAAACGTCATAGCCGTTAAACAAATTAATGTCTATCTGGATCCAAAAGCTTAGCAAATAATATGTTGGGATTTCAGGTGACATGAAGTTGATCTGTGTTAACGTTTGAACATGGGAACTGGAATGAGGATCCACCCAACTGACTAGCATCAAATACGACAAGATGTGATTTATGGATTAGCCGTAATCAAAAAACATAAGATATATGAAATATTTGAATGGACGTAAGTCGGACGACCTGCACACTAATCTAATCAACTAATCTTACTGAAAAATTTAGTAGTTACCTAAGTAAAGTCCGACGTTTAATGACCAAATATTTCTTGTTCTTGATATTGGACTACGAATCTATTTCAGTAAAAATAAAGGCTGTTTCTCAATTGAGAAAATTTTCTTCGAAGAAAGCAAGGCGATTCATCCTTTTATGAAACGAACAAGTCCGCCTGAAAAGACTTCTTAATGAACTTCCATTTCACAGAAATTATTGTCAAAATTAGTTAATAATCACATACTACAGGAACTACAGATACAACAAGTGAATCATCATGTACACATAAAAGGGAAAATAAGAACACAGATTCAGGTGAATAGTAATTGTGCTATGATTATACAGTTTGTCATTTTCCTAACGACGTAAACTGTCAAGAATATCTGATCGAGGAATAAGCTAGACAAAAAATAACAAGGAAATGGGGCAAACGATGAAAATTAGGGATTCAAATTGCTGGGAACAGGCTGCTTTTTAATGTTCAATAAAAATGTATGTCTAATATTCTTTTCCATGCTAAGATAAATTTAATTTAAAATACAAAAATCAAACTCCATCTGAATTATTTCATCAAGATAATAACAAGAGTTAGAAGTACCTGTAGAACGTTGTTCTGTCTATCTAATTGGATTGACAACTTTTAAGCAATTAGCCCATTAAGATAATACTGTAGTGAAGGACAACACAGGTGAAGGCAACCGAATGGTATTTAACGAAAACAACAGAGTCTCTCAGTAAAACAGGAAAACCATATCGTAAATGGCTCATTTGCAAATCTTCAATACATCATCAATCCATTGTCTGACATTTCATTATTCATGCGTTTCATACAAATTCCATTGTGTTCCCACGCTTCTGCTTGTCTTCTCACCGCGCCGCATCTCTTCGTGATAACTTACGGTCCTTCCCACTTTTGTATCAGCTTTCCCCACCCTGATCCCCCTGCTATGCTACTTTTTTGCTCTATACTAGATCCCCCACTGCAAAAGGTTTCCACGTTCTCCTCCGTTGTTCCGCCTTCTTTATGTCTGATATTTGTTTCTTTCCCACGTTCCTGATTGCCTCCCTCCTCTCTTTTCTTAACCTTGTTGTTGTCCATTTCTGTTGTTGTGGCCAGGTCTTATTGTGCAATGGAAGTCGCGGTTGTCTGCCATACATGAGCGATAAGTGTGATTTATTGGTTGTACCTTGTTTGGAGGAACGATGCGCCAGCAAAATCAATGGTAACTCTTTCTCCCAATCTCCTCCTTTAGATGCTAACCATTCCTTTAATGTCTATTTGTTTCTCTCTGTAAGCCCGTTTGTCTGAGGATGATACGGTGTAGTTCATATCCTGTTGATGCCAAATTGTTTAAGACGGTCCCTCAACTCGTCACTTTCAAAACAGGGACCCTGGTCAGCTAATATCATCTTCGGTATTCC